GGCTTCATGGAGAGTCATTTTGGGGACTTAGGGATGACGTACATCTCTTGAGGTTTTGGCTTCTTTCGCTTCCACATTTCGTGTCCGTTATCGGGTCAACTTCCGGTTCATCACTAACACACCGGGTTGAGAAATCCGGGTCGTTACACAAACAGTTTTGGGCAGAAGCAGTCAATACGGTAGCCTACCAAATTAATTATGTACCATCAGTGCCTTTGAAGCATCGAATACCAGAAGAGGTACGGAGTGGCAAAAAGGTAAATCTTTTATGGTTGAAAGTTTTTTTTTGTTGTATTGCATATGTGTATATTAGTGACCATGCTAGGGGAAAGCTCGACCCTAAGTCACTAAAATGCATCTTCGTTGGGTATGGCGGAGATGAGTTTGGTTATCGACTCTAGGATAATCAGAACAAGAAAATCATTAGAAATAGAGATGTGATTATCAATGAGAAGGTGATATACAAGGATAAAGATGCAGTACAGTCAATTAGTCCTATATAGAGTAAGCTTGAGTTTATTAAGTTGGATGATGATCCAGAGAGCATTGACATAGAGCAGACAAATGAGGGTTCTTGGCCAGAACTCACAGAATAGTTCACCACGGATTCCAACTCCTAAGCCTGCACCCAAAAGGTCCACGCGACCTCATGTACCAAATTATAAATATTCGGATTATATGTTGCTTATAGAAGATGGTGAACATGAATGCTATGGTGAAGCATGTTAGGTTAAAGATGCTAGCAAATGAGAGCTTGTAATGGAAGATGAGATGAAGTCCCTTATTTCCAATAAAACATGGAAACTAGCCAAGTTGCCCATGGGGAAGAAAGCTCTTCACAACAAATTAGTGTACAGGGTAAAAGAGGAACACGATGGTTCCAAGAGATACAAGGTGAGATTGGCTATCAAAGGCTTTCAGTAGAAGTTAGGCATTAACTACATAGACATTTTTCCCCTGGTTGTGAAATTGAGTACCATTCGCTTAGCTCTTAGCATTGTTACAACAGAGGGGTTGCACTTTGAGCAGTTAGATGTCAAAATTGTTTTCCTCCATAGTGACCTAGAGGAGGAGATTTACATGTAACAAAAAAGAAACTGTGCAAGTTGAAGAAAAGCTTATATAGTTTGAAGCAAGCCCCGAGCCAGTGGTACAAGAAGTTTGATGGTTTTATGAAGCGATATAGCTACAACAAGTGCAACACTGACCATTATTACTACTTTAAAAGGTTTCAGTCAAGTTTCATTATCCTTCTACTTTATGTTAATGACATATAGTGGCAGATCTGATTTTGAAGAAATCAGTAAATTGAAGAAGCAGTTGTCTAGTGAATTCGAGATGAAGGATCTTGGTGCAGCGAAGTAGATTCTTGGGATGAGGATTAGTAGAGACAAACAGAAAGCGAGTATATTGAACGAGTTCTGAAGAGGTTCAACATGAATAATGCTAAGGCGGTGAGTACTCCCTTAGCTAATCACTTCCGATTATCTCAAGATCAATGTCCAAAGACAGAAGATGAAAAAAACTTTATAGCTAAAATTCCATATGCCTCAGCTATTAGAAGTTTAATGTATGCCATGGTATGCACAAGTCCAGACATTGCATATGCAGTGAGAGCAGTAAGCAAGTTCATGATGGATCTGGGAAAGCTATACTGGAAAGCAGTAAAGTGGATATTGAGATATCTAAGAGGTACCACAGACAGATGCTTATGTTTCAGAAGTGGCGAAGTGAAGCTACATGGTTATGTAGATTCAAACTTTGTTGGTGAGGTGGACCACAGAAAAAGTATTACCTGGTATGTGTTCATGGTGGGTACAACTGCAGTTAGTTAGGTTTCACAAATATAGAGGATTGTAGCGTTATTTACTACAGAGGCAGAGTATGTGGTGATGACAGAGGCTAGCAAGGAGATGATTTGGTTATAAGGTTTGTTGACAGAGTTGGGATTTGAATAGGTGAATAATGTTTTGTACAATGATAGTCAGATAGTCATAGTGCGATACATTTGGCAAAGAATTCAATATTTCATTCAAGGACCAAGCATATAGGACTTCGGTATCACTTTATTAGATTTTTGTTAGAAGATGAGGTGTTGACACTTAAGAAAATACTTGGCACCAAGAATTCAGCTGATATGTTCACCAAGATAGTGACCATATAGAAACTGAAGTTGTGCGCAACTTCAGTCGGTCTTCTAGCTTAAAGACAGGAAAAAATGCACCGACATGTATGGGATATATATGAAAAGAATATCGAATGGATTTATAAATACTCCAGCCTCGAAATGGGAGATTGTTGTGGTTTTGTGGAGTTTGATTAATTTTTAGGAATGTTTAATTATATTGAAACTCCAACACTAATGAAATTTAGGGAAAATTCAGTTTCCTGATCTGTTTTAACTTCCTTATTGGTTTAAGGAAAATTCAATTTCCTGATCTGGTTTAACTTCCTTATTGATTTTGGATTTTACAAAAGGTAAGGTTCTGTATGACAAGTTTGAGACTCTATAAATATCAACTCTAACAAGATTTTAGAGTTTGTGAGAGTTAGAGATAAATTTGTGCCAATACAAGAGAGAGCAATTGAGAGAGATTAAGAGAGAATTCTCCATTATAATTCTTCATCTTCTTCATAATGAACTTGTTCGATGTGCTCCATGGACATAGCCTTAAGATTTGGGTGAACCATGTATATCTTGTATTCTTGTGTATGATTTTTTTATTCTTCGTGATTGTTTGTTTATTCCTTGAACAGCGTTGTTTATTTTGCGTTTCCGCCATAACAACTGGTTTCAAATCCAGTTGATTGCGTAGAACAACTCCAACATCTTGTAGATTTTGTAGTTCGCAGTTGCAGAGAGCAGCGTTGGCAGTGAGGTTATGTGGTGGTTGTTCAAATTAGGTGAGTCTCAATTTGAACGAGAGAATAAGAGAAAATAAAAAATAAAAAAAAAGATAATAATAATTAATAGTGTAGATTTGGGATGATGATCATAGATATGACTCAGTACAGGCCATCAATCGATGGCTCTGATACCATGTTGATTATAAGAGATAGAGAGACAAAGAGAGACAGATATATATGAAATGTAGAGATTTTGTATATTGAAGTATATGTAATACATGTACAAGGAGAGATATATATAGGTTAGAGATCACCAACGGCTATACAACAATTTTTTTTTTTTTTTTTTCATAATTATGGTTGTATAAAAAAGAAAAGAAATATGTACAGGAGCACAAAGGGCATTCTCCCAGTATGTAAAGAAAACACAATTAAGGATGGATGGAAAACATCCATACCTTAAACTAAAAATAAAAAAATTGAAGATCAGTGGATAGAACTCCACTGTCCAAGCACAGAAAAGAAACAAGGATTAACTACACCAAATCAAAGAGAGATGTTGTGTATGTCTAACACCTCCAGTATTATATTCCTAGCAGCCACCTCTGGTTCAGTTGAATTACCATGGAGTCTAGCATTTCTTTCATTCCAAATTCCCTAAAGAGCAGCATCAAAAAGAGTGTTATGGTAGCTATACAACAATTATAGTAATAATCTAGATAACGGTTATAATCATGTAATTATGGTAGCAATATAAATAACGGTTATAATATAATCTAATTATGTTAACAGTTAGTAAGAAACTAGAATGAAGTATATTTTTTTCTTTAACTTTTACATGTTATTTATTTAAGTTGCAATCATAACTATTACTTATGTGGACTTTCAATTGAAGGGCTGGAGTATCTGTATCATGATTGTAAGCCACCAATAATCCACAAAGATGTAAAGTCTGCCAATATCTTATTAAATGAAAATTTTCAAGCCAAACTTTCTGATTTCGGGTTGTCCAGAGTTTTTCCAACTGAAGGTGGTACTCATGTATCACCAATTATTGTTGGCTCTTCTGGGTACCTTGACCCTTTGTAGTATTTTTCTTGTGTATACAAATGTCTATATATCTTCACTTCCAATAGTTCTAGTGATCATGTTAATGGCAACTCCCAGCTACTTTCTATCACTTATCGCTAACATCTTGATCATATTAAAATGGACTTTTATAGACTATATAGATATTTTAGGCACAAGAATAGTCATGGATATAGACTGTTCTATAAACACACACGCAAAGGTTTCTAAGTTCCGATAATTGGCTTGCCGGTATTGCACACCAAATAGGTTAACCGAGAAAAGTGACGTGTATAGCTTTGGGGTTGTTCTCTTAGAGATTATTACAAGTCGGCCACCAACGCTAGAAGGCCATGACAAGTTACACATAAGCCAATGGGTTGGTTCCAAGATTGTAAACGGTGATGTTAAAAGTATTGTTGATCCTAAATTGTAGGGAGATTTCGACATTAATTTTGCTTGGAAAGCTGTAGACTTGGCAATGACTTGTGAATCTTGCAATTCCACCTAAAGGCCAACCATGAATTTTGTGGTGACAGAATTAAGGGACTGTTTGGCAACAGAGAGGGATCTTCACGGGATTGAATGGAAAGATTCAATTGGAGTACCTTTGTATCTGGAGAGTGAAATAAATCTCCCAATGGTGCGGTAACTCCACGAATTAAATGTATTTCTTGTTGGGTGTTCAACGTTTTATACTTTTTTCCATGTCTGTGACTCAAAAAAGTTGTGTCAAAAGTATGTATGGCTATACTATACCTAAGCAAATGTGTTAGTAATGTGTAAGTTTTATTCAACCTCCGTTTTTTTTTTTTTACTTATTTGGGTTTCAAATAGTGATTGGCCAGACCAATGATCCTGATATCATGTAATAATTTCTCCACAATAGGAGGGACTGCTTTTTCTACTTGTGCAATTTTCTGAGTGGTAAATGAATGGTGTGGTTGTTTATGGACTTCTGTCACTATATATCTAAAGTACGTATATATATTAGAAAATTATATCAACATAGGTTGTCTTTTCTTTTCGAATTATAAGGGAATAATTGTAGCATATGTGATGCAAAAGCACAGTGGAAAAGGCTACTAAAATTTCAAAGAGGCTTTATTTGGATGGATGGATTTGAAAAGAAGTTTAAGGTTCAAATCACAAAAATAATATGAGGTTTGGCAATTGGATTTAGATTTCTGTTTTTCCCGGCAAGTTGCAAAGAGGGAGAAGTTTATTATTACTATTAATTTTTTTTCTTTTTTTCTTTTTTTTAGTTAGGTAAATACTCACATACACATTTCACAAATTGTCCACTACAACATTCAAACTTTTCACTTGCAACATTCCATTAACTTTCTCTTCACTAATCAATCCAACTTTTATAACCCAATCTGGTAAGTTGTAATCTCAAAGGAGATAGTGTACGTGTGTGAGCCCCCCGCGAAAAAAAAAAAAAAAAAAAAAGGAGATAGTTTTCATACAAATACTGCAATTTGATATCTCAGAAGTAGATGCTCAACTGCTTCATCCTCTAATTCACAAGATCTACAAATTTTATACTCAATGATTCCCTTCTGGTTTAAGTTTCTTTGAACAGCTAACTTCCCCCGGCAACACTCAAAAATTGTATATATAGTTTCCATATCGAATTTTACAGTGAATTATGAATAATATGTCCATTGCTGCTACATGTTCTGATAAAACTTATTAAGTACAAACACGCAAATATGCAATAAGTAGATACGATTCAACACCAAACACATGAGATATTTAACTTGTGGAGTTATCGTATCATTGGGAGACTCATTTCTGTGTCCAGATGTATAGGTCCTTCAATTGAATCTTTGGATTCTGTATGGTGACGAGCTATCTCTGTTGCCAAACAGTCCCTTAATTCCATCACCACATAATTCATAGTTGGCCTTATGGTGGAAGGCTGAGACACACAACTCATTGCCAACTCTACTGCTTTCCAGACAGAATTAACCTCAAAATCTCCCTGTAGCCTCGGATCAACAATGCCTTTAATATCCCCATTTTCAAGCACGGAACTAACCCATTGAATTATGTGAGTCTTGTCATAGCCTCTTGCTATTGGTGGCTTACTTGTAATTATTTCCAAGACAACAATCCCAAAGCTATACACATCACTTTTCTCAGTAAACCTATTTGATGTGCAACACCTGAGAACAAGCACATACAATTAAAATATTTATACCAGCTACTAAGAGAAGTTGATAATGAAATGATCATTTGGTAAACGACTTCTTCTAATTTATTATGTAATGAAATTATTAAGGAAAAGATTTTTGAAGACTTCTGGTATTGAAAAAAAGAGAGTTGATTTTGAGTAAAATCCAATCACGGTATAAAAATGGCTAGTCTAGTGCACGAGTCTTCCACTACTGCAGTGTTTGAGAAAGGTTAGATATACTCACAATGGAACAACTTTACTCTTGTGCCAAGATCCGCTCTCAATCATGATATAAGAGAAAACAAAATATATATACCAGAAGTAATAATACTTACTCAGGATCAAGGTAGCCAGGAGTGCCGGCAACAGTAGTTGATACATGAGTTCCCCCTTCAGTTGGAAAAACTCTGGACAACCCGAAATCAGAAAGCTTGGCTTGGAATTTTTCATTCAGCAAGATATTGGTAGACTTCACATCTCTGTGGATTATTGGCGGCTTGCAACCATGATGCAAATACTCCAGCCCTTCAATTGAAGTCCTCATTAATTAGTAGCTGCACTTGCAGCTAATAGCTAGAAAATAAGAAGTAAAATGAAAATTGCATTTCATCTCAATTCTTACTAACCTTGTGCCGCGTCAAGTGCTATTCTGAGCCTCTCTTCCCAACTCAAAACAACTGAATTTTTATCTGCATCCAAAAATTAAAAAAAAAAAAAAAAAAGGAAAAGAAAATTGTCCACTAATGAAATTTAGATGGAAATTTTTTTGTAGTTCTTGCTGAAGCAGAGACTATAGATGAGATGGGTGCATAGTCGTATTGTGTAAAGTTTCAAGAATGACATGTATACCTAAAAGATGCCTTGTTAAGTTTCCATTAACCATGTACTCATAGATGATTCCCATGTACGTGCCTTCTTTGCAGTACCCAACAAGAGAAGTTAAGTTTTTATGACGAACACTCACAAGAAGGTCGGCCTGCAATGTGACACGGATTATTAAGTCAACATTATATATTGATGAGCTCAAATTTCATATAAAATGTCATGTAATAGATATTCTTTTATCAGATAGTATTGTGAAACAAAGATAGTTTATTGGTACTGGTGGTGTAAAAAGACATTGTAGGAGTATGCAGGGTACATACCTCTGCTTGAAATTCCTTATACCCTTGAACTGATGATGAAGAGAGCATCTTTACGGCAACTTGAGAGCCACCTAAATAGCCAAGATAAACTTTTCCAAAGCCTCCTTTCCCAACTATCTTCTCGAAGTTATTGGTAATATGCACGACTTGAGAGTATGTTAACTGTCTGTTCTTCACCTCCATGTACACATCTCTTTGGTTTGTTTCGGCATCCTCCTTTCTGACTACTGAGATTACTTCAAATCAATCAAAAATTCCATTGAGAATTTTTTTTTTATTATGAAAATTTGAATATTTATATTTTAAATCTTGCGAAATTTTACCTAAAACAATAATTGTTTCCATTACCTCGTCTTCTTCTTTTAATAATCCATAAGGCAGCCATTATCGCAATTAAGAGCGAACAAAGTGCAGCTGCTACAGATGCTACTATCGGAACAACCTTGCTCTTTTTCTTTTTGCATGGACTAGAATTACAAGGATTTGTGTTTTCACCTTCAATCGGGTCAATACTGTTTATGATGACAAATATTATAGGAGTCGTCAATAAGTGTTAATAACTTCTGAAGCCTTGCTAGTCAAGCTATTTTTAAAAACAATTGTTGGGATGGAGTTGATTCCATTTTAATTTCTCACAGTACAGAAATTAAAAATAGAAAATATATAGTTCAATTATTTGTTTGGTTTTTACATTATTTAATTTTAAAACTGAGTAGAAAAGATCGAAATCTATGGATATTAAAAATCTTTATAAATTATTTCTTGTCATTAGGAGTTCTTGAAAATTTTCTTTAGAGGACCAAACCAAACAATTTCTTAATGATTATTACCTTAATGCCAGTGAACCATTATTCGACCTTGCAACCAAATCTGGTGGAAGTGAGCCTGTGAAATTGTTTCCCTCCAAGTTTCTGCAGAAGAAGAGTGAACATGATCCGTTTGTTTTTTTCATACCAATAAATTTTCAATCTAATTATAAGATCTATGTAACTTACAGGACTTTCAAGGAAGTCAGTTGAGAGAGAAAATTAGGCACCTCTCCAATTAAGCTATTGTTTGACAAATCCCTGAAAGATGCAATAGTTCAATTTTAATTATCATTGGCTATTAATAAATAAACTTCGATTTATTCTTTCTATGACCCTAAAAATAAATAAATAAAAAAAAGAAGTCTACATTTATGTTGTATATATATAGCATTTGGTAGAAGAGACTTAATACTTACAAAGATTGTAGCATGGTGAGATTGGATATGTCAGGAGCTATCTCCCCTGTCAATCCACCAGAGGACAAGTTCCTAATTCCAAGTAGAATAATTTTATCAGTAAACGACTAGTGATCAAATCATGAAAATTTATATATGCAATATATATGTATATTGATAATTAGAGAGAGGGCATAAACATACAAGGATGTGATCCTAGGGGAATCAAAACCAATTATGCTACAGTTGAGGCCATCCCAAACGAATTCTCGAGGGGCACATGGATCTCCTTGCCAGTTTCTTTTCACTTCATATTTCGACTTTATGCTCTTCATAGCAGCGACTAATATTTCAAAATTCAAATTAAGCATATGAGTGAGAGAGAGGTATGGATAGAAATAGAATAATTAATTAATTAGAACATGAGGATGAATGAAAAAGCACATAAAAGTTTGAAATTAATTAAGAACATATATAATTACCATCTTTGTCATCTGTTTGCGACTGTAAGAACTGTTTTACAACATAAAGCTCCATGGCATTGATGATGGGAGGGAGAGTTGAATTATTGGTCTTAATGATTGAAAGCTCATAACTTGCATAACTCGAAGGTGATGTACTGTATACCGTAGTTGATGATAAATAATTGGGGGAAACTGGTTCTTTATACCATTGCTGCCCATTCAAGTAAATGTTGAATTCTCTGGTTTGGTTTTTTTGCAACACTTGAACTTCCGCAAAGTATAAGTAGATGTAAAATTGGTCTGTGGGAGTGACAGGCTCCCATGAGAAGTACAAGGAATCGCTGCTAACATTTGGTTTAATGGCAGAGCTCATGACTTCAGATGGTGGGTTGTACAGACCGTCAGATTCTACAATAGAATTCGATGATGGGGTACTTAACTTTGTGTAGTTCTGGCTATATGGCCTCCACTCGCGATCATAAACATCATCTTTGTATCTGAGATACATTAGTACCATATATAGTCATGATCGAGCATATGTATATATTTATAAATATATCAAGTAATACAGAAATTAAAACGAAGTAGGTAGGAACTTGATTCGATCTTCATAGTTAATTATTTCAACTAGGAAATGCCAACCTGATAAATTCAGAAACATAGTCATTCCTTGTTGAACCAAAATCTCGACGCCACCAGTATTCTAGTGATACATTATTTTTTGTCTCATACATGGAATTATTCAAAGGCCTCAACTCCAATGCTGAGATGAAAGGTGTTCCTTGGTCTGTGCTCACGAGACAAACATTTATATAATCTGCAGTGGGAACGTGTATGATCTCGTGCCTCCAAATAGTGGTTGAATCCTTGATTGTCACAGTCTTCCAGAATTCAACTCCAATGTACAGATCAAAAAGTGGTGGCTGATTTTGATCATCATAGTTTCCATACAAGAACCATGCCCTTATAAAATATTTATTACCTCTCCCTCCTTGAGGTCTTAGAGTATAACAGTTTCTGGTTCCTTCAGGAAAGCTTCTAACATTCAAAAACTGTTGGCTGGCTAAGTTAGGAATGAATTCAGATGATACAGGCATGCTTAAACCAGTCTCCACAAAATTTTCATCTGAACTATAATATATTCCCGTTATGGTGTCTGTGTAGCTCGAAGCTTCGCGCATTCCACAATCTATGCTTATGAATCCTACAAGATCGATCAAAGATAGAGATATTGTTGGAGCTAATTTTGAAAAGCTCTCAAGTAACTTCACATTTGCAAGTAATGTCATCTTATGTATCCCATACCAGTGGTATCTAGCTCATGTACTTATCCCCTAGGGAATTGCATGGTTCTTCTAACCTGGTTTTATATATGGAAAATGAATCACACTTGACACAATCAATTAAAGGGCCCAAAGGTGCCCGGAACTTACCAACAGTTGCCAAAGTAACAATAGCCAAGTATAACTCTTGACCTCCTATGGAAATTAAGGGTTTGATACTTGGATACTCCTAAACGGAGGATGAAGTTCATCCTTCTTCATATGATATCGTCTAATGTCATTAGAACATTTGTCTAAAATATTAAAAAAATAATAAAAAAAAAATGAAAATTACCCATTTTTTACGGGTTAAACCGTTTTTCTTTCCTTATTTTTTTTATTTTTTTATTTTTTTCTTTCCTTCTTAAACACGATCAGCTACGGGCCGAACTCTCCCCCATCTTCCTTTCTCTCTCCACAGCAAAGCAATTCTCTCTTCTTCTTCTCTTGATCTCACAACAATACAAATTTCCATATCCAACCGCCATCGAAATATATAATATAGTTTTCTATTATAGTGTTTCGTGTGAAATTATAAAGATTGTACACTTACTGATGACTATATTCTTAGGGTTTTAGACGCACACTTAGGGTTTTGGAATAGGGGCAGCCACAAGCGGTGGAGGAAGGTTGTGGCGGCAAGCAAGGTTTCGGATGGAGGTTGGATATGGAGATGGACAGAGACTTGCTTTGGTGTGAAGAGAGAGAAGAAGATTGTGTTGCAGAAGGAAAGAACCCTAAAAAAAAAAAAAAAAAAAAAAGAAAAAGGGAAAGTAAAAATGAATTAACCCATAAAAAAATGGGTAATGCCTATTTTATTTTATTTTATTTTTTAGATACATGTTCCAATGACATTGGACCACAATAGATGGAGGATGAACTTCCTGCTGCTAGATGGAGGATCCAAACATTGTTTTTGATACCGTTAGGTCACTCGCCCCGTTGGAATCACTTCAGGATATTAATATGGGTAAATTACACTTACCTCCCCTGAGCTTTGGACAAATCTTACACAAACAGAGTGTTTCAGATTTATTATTTTGACCAAATCTTACACAAGCAGAGTGTTTCAGATTTATTGTTTTGACCTCCCTTAAAATTTGGGTGTATGCTCAATATCCACCCTCTCCATCAAAACTTGTAAAAAAAAAAAAAATTCATAAAGTGACCAAGTTGCCCTTACACTTATTTTTTTTAGGAGGGGGTAACGGTGGTGGAGAGGAAACAGAAAGTAATAAGAGAGATGAGATAAAAAATTAATTAATTTTTTTTAGATTATATAATATATTTTGTATTATAAAAGTATATTATATATAAGGGTATAATTAACTTTTTATAGTCTTAAGGGAGGTCAGAATAATAAACATCAAACGTTTTACCCATGTGAGATTTGTCTAAATCTCAAGGGAGGTAAAGGTAATTTATCCTACTAATATCTATGAAATGTTAATGTGTTGACCTCTAGCAAACTACCATGCTAATGGGTTATGTGTGCATGATCCCATATCGCCTAAGTATATATATGGAAAGGGAACATATTATATATATATATATATATATATATATATGATGAATTTGTACTTCCTTGGTGTGCACAATACGCTTTGGGCTAAGGTCCGAGATAAAAGCGTGCGGTCGGCCAAAGAAAACAATGTTGTTAGCCTAATTAAGCCAATTTTGAGGATTTTTGGGCTAATCTTGTCAAGATTAATCTTTATATTAAAAACTTAATATTATTTTATTTAAAAAAAAATTATAAAAAATGAATATAGAAATTCAAAAAAATGTACACTTCTAACAGTGCATAGAGTAGATATAGAGAAAGCCAGAGAGAAACCTGATTCATCTTGTCCTTGAATCAGCAGGGCAAGAGCTAAACACCCAAAAAGTACCAACGACACCCTCATTGCTTCTCCTAGCTAGATTCTGTGCTCTCCAGAAAATGCGATTCCACTGCAAGCATATATTGTGAAGAAACGACTATATATATAATATATATATATAAGTACGCGCGCGCACGTTATGTAATTGTCGTGGACCAGTTCCAAAGTCTCTCATCCATCAACATCAACATCAACATCAACATTCAACAACTTTTTTTTTTAGTTAAAAACATTCAACATCTTCATTTCTCCAACTTGCTTGTTTTGCTTGATACTATTACAATTAGCAGACATACGTACGTACGTACACACGTGTAATATTACTAAGTGGACTCTATAACTCTAAGGACTAAATTGGAAAAGAAATTAAGTGCATTCAAAGTTCTATAGCTGTTGATATGGCTCATAGCTGTTAATGTTATGTTTGCCCTGTTTATATATATATTTAGGGTAAAGTGTAAAAAAATTTCTTGAATTATTGATTTTTTGCAACTAACTTTTTAAGCTATTGATTTGTTGTAATTAACACAAAAGACTATTTTATCTTTTTTTTATTAAATTTGTCATTTCTTATTAAATTATTTTTTATTGTATTTTCTCTTATTTAAATATTAATTATACCATTTATCTTAATTTTATAATTGGTATCAATTAATTATAAAAATAGAAAAAAATAAATAAATCGGTGACTATCATTTTCTAAAATGATTAACTTATTATAGTAAAACTTATTATACTCACTTTAAAAAAATTTAGTATAAAAAAACATCTTCTTTCTCAAACAATATCCATGAAGAATTAATAAATTACGTAAATAGAAAATATCTTCTTTTTAATGCAATATATTCTTGAAAATTAAAAAATTACTTAAATTGTTTCAAAATTTTCTATTTAAGATTTTTATTTAAATAATTAATTAAAAAAATTAAAGACAAACTTATGCACATTTAATGGAGAATATTTTATCAAATTAGTATGAATTTTTATTATAATTTATTTTAACAAGAAAAATATATCAAGTGTAATTCAATAGGAAAGGGTGTTATAGTCATTTGAAAATAGATAAGACAATAGGGCCTTTTCAACTTAAATATGATAGTTTAGAGGATTTTATGCACAAAAAATAATTCAAGAAAATTATTTACAAGTTTAGACATAATTGTGGAATTTTTTTTTTTTTGCACCTTACCCATATATTTATAATAAGTCATACATTTTGAATCTTCCTCTCAGCTTCACTTGACTTCTGCCATTTCGTTAGTATATGAGAAGACTTTGACAAATTACCGGTATATGTTTTTTGAAAAGATCAACCACATGTTTTTTGAAAAGATCAACCACATGTTCACAGTGATTAATTCGATGCATTCAAACAAGTTTCTTGAACTACTGAATGAATCTATATATATTAAGTTGTGTAACAATTCAAACATTTTTTCTTTATTTATTTATTATTATTATTTTTTTAAATGTCAATATTATATCTCTAAAGCAACTTTTAGAGTTTCAAAAGTCTTTAGGAACTTTCATTGAATAAATTGTGAGTATACCTATCTTGACTTAATACAATTAGACTTTTTTCCTCCTAAAAACAATTTCTTTTTTTTTTTGGTAGGTAGATGTCAAATCAATTTGTCCTTGGAAAAACAAATTGATGAATACTCATGGAATTAAATCATTGACTTGCGTAAACTGTATCCGTGTAGAAAAAGACATTCTCATAGAAGCTTTCTAATTTTATGCGTAGAAAAAAAAAAATTTTATTAATATATATATATTTTTGTTTAGTGCATGTAAAAAAAAAAAAAAAAAAGGTATGAAATGGTATATTAATCTACCATTTGATACAGTGATATGGTGTTAAAAACATTCTCTCTATGAGTCAGGATTAGCAGCACGCACACACTCCTCATGCACACACCAAATACAAGAAAACAAAAAGCAAAATTAAAAAAAATAATAATAATAAATTACTGTAGAAAGAAGAAGAAACTGGCAGAACTCTACCCCCACTTAAATTAATTTCCTCTACTCTTCTAGGCAACTTCGTCAATTTTTTTGTCTTTAAGGGTGTGTTTGGATAGTATTAGTAATGAGAGAAAAGAAAAGAAAGGATAGTATTAGTGAGAAAAGAAAAGAAAAGAAAAGAAATGATAGTAATAATTTCTATTTGTGTTTGGATAGATAGGAGAGAAAAGAAAAGAAGTGATAGTTATTTTTGTTTGGATAAGATAGAGGAGAGAAAAGAAAAGAAAGGATAATAGACAAATTACTTTTTTACCCTTTCATAACCATGGGACTTGAATGGAATAATAAATCTGTCTATTGATTTGTGGAGGATAATTTTGGTATTATCAAAATACCACTAAAATCACTATCCTTTCTCTCACTATCTCTCCCTATCTTCTCAATTTTGAGGAGAAAGCAAATAAGAGATAGGGAGGGATAGCTATCCCTCCCTATCTCTCCTTATCCCTCCCTATCCCTCCACTTAAGTTACCCAAACACAAAGTTACACTATCCTCTCTTTTTTTTTCTCTCCCTATCCCTCCAAATCAACCCTACCAAACACACCCTAAAGTTTAAACATTAATTCATATGCAAATCAGGTCAAGGTCTATGCCAACAAAGTAGAATATTGGCAAAGAGGGCCCTGGGAGAGGAGTCTTCCAAAGGTACACTTCTAAGTCTTTAACCTAATTAGTACGTCTATTATTTGGAGTCAAACACACGTATAGATATATATTAGACAACGTATTTATTAATTGGGTTAGTTGCCCTGATACCCCCGAGGTGTTGATCAATGCTACTCAGATGCGGATAAATGATTTTTTTGGATAATGACACCCCTTGATGTTTCAAATAATATATTTACCCTTAATTATTTAATTCACAAAATATCACCCGTTAGACAAAACTACTCTTCCTCTCTCTTTAACTAAATCACTTAATTATTTTTTTTCAGTTGCTTTTTTGTTTACTCACTGGCTCCCTCCCTCACACATTCTCTTCTCTACACTATTAATCTTCTCTCTCTTCCAGAAAATCATCCCCAATGCATGCTTTTGATATGCCGGCGACACTTCATGTCCTATTTCCTCTCTCCACTTGGATCATTACACCGACAGTAACGCCCCGAACTCGGAGGTCCGAATCATTCTTCGTGTCTTTAACTGAACCCGATGCCAGCAACACTCCATCTCCTATTTCTTCTCTCCCTTCCACTTTTATCATTACACTGGCAGTAACGCCCCGAACTTGGGGGTTCAAATCATTATTCGGGTCCTTAACCGAATCCAAGGTCATCTAAGGGCAACACGATCATTTCCATGGTCAAACTATAATTAATACACCTTACTAGTTTTTATAATACACATTGGCACTGTAACAACCCAAATTCGGGGAATCCGATTCGCTAACCGGGTCCTAGCTCGACCCAAGATCACAGAAGGGTAAAATGGTCATTTTACATTAAAGAGCAAATAATTTAACCCTGAGTAAGTCAAATAAGGTTTATATAATCCACTTAAGTTAGTTCATGATATTCTAAGAGGTTCTAGAGGACCTAGCCATGGTTCCCCCACGAATACTCCTACTTCATCCTCTAATTCACAAGATCTACAATTTTTATGCTTGATGATTCCCTTTTGGTTTAAGTTGCTTTGAAAAGCTAACTTCCCCCTGCAACACACTCTGAAATAAAATTTTAATTTTCAACCTTTCGTATCTATAGTTTCCATTTGAATTTTACAGTGAATTCATTAATAATATATCAAATGCTGCTACATGTTCTGATAAAACTTATGATATGCAATACATAGGTAAGGGTCAACACCAACACATGAGATATTTAACTTAGGGAGATTATCATATCATTGGGAGACTCATTTCTGTGTCCAGATTTATAGGTCCTTCAATTGAATCTTTGGATTCTGTATAATGGTGAGCTATCTCAGTTGCCAAGTTCATAGTTGGCCTTTTGGTGGAAGGGTGAGACACACAACTGATAAGCGTCGAATATTACATATTCAAGTGCCCTTATTTGCATTAGTTAAGTCCATTAGTTTATTGTATAGATTTTCTCCAGTTTCTCGTTTTTGTGCATTTTCAAGTTTGCCTCCCAAAAAGAAATAAAGTGGAGGTTTTAGAAGCTTTTGAAGAACAAGTCATTCCGGGCCCTTGCATCCTATGATTTCCAAGAAGAAATTGCCGAATTGGGTTCATAAAGGCTCTCTACAAGACAAAAGGGCAGAAGATGGACTCAATGACTCACATCCAAGATCAAAAGGAAAGTGAAACAATAGCATGAAGAATTGATAAAAGTGAAAGAAGTTCAAAGTAGGAGAAAAGAAAAATAAAGTCTAAGGCACGGACGAGCACTCGTGCTCGTCCGGCATTCGTGAGTCACCAGGCACAGTGAGCCATGTCACACAAGTGCTCGTCTTTCTTACGAGTGCTCCAATTCAAGGCAGAGTAAAACAAGGCATTTACGAGCACTCATGTTACGCTCTACGAGCGTTCGTCCTAACACTATAGACCTACTTGGCTTTTTGATCCTTTCAATTGGATTCCCTCCTTATTAGGTTGTTGGTAAAACACTTTTGGGGGACATGGACCTCGCTTTTTGGGGGGTTTTGGTAGACTTCTTGTCTATATGAGTGGCTTGTATCAAGAGAAAGGGGGATCTGACATTTTTGCAAGGTTAGAGAGAGAAATGTTGTGAGTTTAGAGGGTTTGTGTGTCATGGATCTCCTAGGTGCGAAAATGGAGGGTGAGACCACTTCTTCTCCTTCCTCCCTTACATCCATGGGTAACTAACTCCCTTTCTAGGGAGGTAATGAAGCCCTACTTTGTAAGCATGCTCTAATTTTGATTCTATTTTGGGGGAATGATGTATATATTTGGTCTTTCCATAATTTAGACCTATACACATGTTGTAATGGATTTTAGTGCCTATAAATGATCATTTTGAGTTGTTTATCTTGTCTTAGATTGTTTCCTCTCTTGATCATATTGCTTGCATTTTCATAGTGACAATGAAAATGAGATTGTGGAATGGTTTTAATGGTATGTTGTTAGGGAACCTTGATAGTCCCCGGC